CCCCCCTTTCCTGTCTATCTTCTGCTGTCTCTATCTAATAAAGGCATGAAAAGGCGAAAAAAATAACTTAAAAAAATAAATAAATAAAAAGGAAAATACAGACAAATCCCTTTTCCTTTAATAAAAATATGGAAAAAATATCGTACAGTGATTATTTTGACAGATATTGCGATTGCCATATGATAATTTTTGCATCACAAAACATTAGAATCAATCAATCAAATTCTTGTACCAAACAAACATGTTTTCTTACACCTGTAGAACAAGATTTGTAGGCTGGGGCACCTTTTCAACACTACAGTACTTCATTATAAGGCTGTTTTTCAGACATTTGACCTGTTATCAAAACATTACAGCTCTTGCAATTTGCATATTGCACTTGGCCATATTGCAAATTTGATAATATTTCGATTAATTGTGCAGCCCTAAACAGTGGAAATTAATGTTAAATATGAGACTGTAGTTTTCACTCCCTTTATTTGCAGACCTATGGCATAGTCACTGTTATACATTCATATGTAGTTATTCTCCGGATGAGGGAGGTATGAATGGTATGATTTTGCGTCCATGTCCCTGTGATTTCAACCCACAATGGATGTCTGTGTTCTATACAAGAACCACGTTGATGGGATATTCTATGGCCTGGTGCTGTGCTGATGGTGTTTTTCTCCCTGATTTTAATTGGTCATAATTACTTTTGGACATTTGGCGCAACAGTTCTCATCATGTATTAGCTGACCGTAACAAACGGGCAGTATGATGTTGCCATGGAGCCAGTTGCTGTGTCCCAATTCCACACTACATGCGCAGTGTATACTGTATAGACTGCTTGTAATGGTATGCCTTTTTTGCATTTAGTATTGAACAAGAAATCAATGTCATTTTCCCTTTTGTACTAACAGGAAAGGAGCAATGTGTGTGCCAACAAGCTTCGGAAAAGCTACTGCCAGTTAAACTTCAGAGAAGAGAATGGTTCTTTCTGAAAGCTACAACGGGTTCCTGTTTGTACTGATGCCTAAAAAACTGTTGAAACCGAAGAGGAAGTCAAAAATGTTAATGTTGTGAGGCAATCATAAGTCTTTTTTTTTAATGATTTCTCAACAGTCATGAGTTATACTGTTGCTGGAAAGAGTATGACGCTCTGATTCTAACAGTATGTGTATGACGTTTATATATTGGATTTGACGGAGGTATGACTCCAAGAATAGGAGTTTTGATTGTTGCCACAAAAATATATCAGTTGGATGAACAGAAAAGCTAAATATACAACATAAAATACCTGTTGAGAGACTAGCAGAGCTCCAGTAGTGCTGTTTTCCTGCAGATTGGTTCTGTTTACAGTCTGCTCTTCGGTGCCTGATGTGACTTTATGTATGACAGCCTCTAGCTCGATGCTGTTACTGTGCAGGCGGCCCTCTGAGATGAGTGACAAGTGTTGAGGCAGGCGCTTGACCAACTGATGAGGGAGGAAGATGCCAGTAACAACACCTTTTATACTGTCTGAAGGGGAATGTTGGATATTTTATTTTTAAGCCTGGAGACAGCTGAGGCTCCGCTTGCACAAAAACAGATGTAACTCAATCACTGAAATGCGTTTCGGATGTTTTATTCAGAGTCTATATTTCAGGCAGTCTATGAATCCTGGTCTCCCTCTGCTTCCTTCTCTTTCCTCCCAGGCTGAATACATGTCCCAACAACTGCTCTGGCCGCGGCGAGTGTCGTGTGGGGAACTCCACCGGTTCAGCGTACTGCCAGTGCGAAGCCAACTGGAAAGGGGAAGCCTGTGACGTCCCCTACTGCCTGGCTGACTGTGGCTACCCTGAAAGAGGGCACTGCCAGGACAAGACCTGCATCTGCAAGACCGGATGGCAAGGTGGGCTGGCACTGCAACCGCATCGCTTCCGCTGCCACTGATCTCATTTTCTCACGCACTGCACTGGTTTGAATAATCACAATGTCATCAGGTTGGCTTCAGGCAGGCCCGCACATGCCAAACCCTCCTCAGCCACTTTAAAAAAAGCTTCTCACTCTGTCTACATTCTCAGTACAGTATGAACAGTGGCTCTGGTCCTAGGGGTGGGTAAATCCCAAATCTAGTTGCCAACAATCACCTTTAACAACCACAATTATTAATACAGGACAGTCATGTAAATACAGTGTTCCTCCTTCCTACTTTCAGTGAAAGAGTACACACCATATATAACTAGCCTGGTTCCAGATCTCTGCATCGCTGCCCACATTTGCCACTTGTTCAGTGATTCATGTAGAAAGAATGAAATGTAAATTCATTGTGCTTTTCGGGCTAATGTATAACTGAGGTAGTCATTTAATCTGATTAAGTGCCCAATGTACCACCTGCTTAGACCGTCTGAAAGTACTGTGTTCATATAATTAGGTAGAAAACATATAATTGAAAGACAGAAAAAGGTTTAAGGTTTTAATAGGAGTGAGGATTATTTGACTTGGCCTCCTGCTGCCTGATGACTCAATCCCACCATTCAGTAGTGAGGGATGGTTTCTATACAGGGGTTAAGGCTAATCCTAGGCTAAGAATTCAGTATTTTATAGAGGTATCAGTTGGCTAGGGTTAATGCTTCTATGTGAAACCATACCTCAGTGTACAAGCCACAAAGAAAACCTGCCGACTCTATAAAACTTGTAAGTTGAGGTCAGTGTACTATGTTGTTTTCTACATTTTTATGGAATAAAAAAACACTCACCTTTTCCATCATGGATACTATACTTTGACCCAATTATTTAATTTTATTTTAAAAATACGGAGTTATCGGAACTTTCCAGCTATTTTCTTTGTAAGCACACCCAGGAGTAAAAACTAACTTTCCCAGTAAACACCCAGTGGAGCTGAGCACTAAGCAGCTCCAATGAAGCAGTTGGAGGTTTAGTAAAGAGCGTTGCTGACTTTATCCATCCAGATTTTGCCTGTTTATCTGGTGATTCAACCCAGTGCCTCTTCAGCTTTAAGCCTCCACCACTATTATTGAGGCTGCCGCTGCCCCCACAACATCCATCTGCTGTAACCTGATGGACTTCAAATGAACTCTTTGCAGGATCAGCTTCCACATATTTTTGGTTGAGTCATGAATATTCATCTCCTTTTATTTGGTGATGACCTGACACCACTGTATCCTTTTTGAATCCAACCATATGGGCGTTTTAACCGCTCTATTAGTTCTTAAACGGCTCCACTGCGCCAGTGTGCACAAGCAGAGACAACGGCTTAATTTAACTGCAGTTATATCAGCAGCTCAGTGTGCTCACGATCTAATTACCAAAGCTGAGGGAGTTGAGAAACAGACTGGCATTTTCTTTAGCCTTTATTACCCTGTCATGGTGTGTTAGCCGAGGAATAGCACACTTAGTGTACTCTGTGCTGCCAGCTTCCAAATGAACTCATTTTCAACACCAACCAGTGAAAAAGAAGAGACAGATGCCTGTTTAGTCAAGCCAGCCTTGCATTTAATCTCTCTTTCACAGATGCATAGCCTTCAACAAATTGCGTCTTTTAAGGGAGGCTCAGGCCGCATTTGTGTTATTTATGGAAATGCCACCAAGGTGCAAAGGTAATTTGTTTGCTTAGCGATACTGGAGTTGGGTTGAGGGATATTAGCCACTGGGAATTATTTTTTTTCTGCCACTGAACAAAACAAAAAGGAGAATGTAAATTGACCTTGATTGTTTGCAATCACAACACTTCCTTTCCTGTCACGTGATTGCTCCTGCATTGTTTGGATAACAATCAATAAGGAACTCCGCCAGTGGTTAATATCCTGTTTCTGCTAGAAGATGGAGTGATAGCACTAATCAGTTGGTTAAATGTTGTATTCCAGTCAGGTTTTTATCTGCGTCTTTCATCAGGTAGGATGGACAGACTGTAGATGAACAAGATCAACAAACTGCCCCCAAACCGCACCACAGCCTGATTCCAAAGATCGTCAGGACGAGGCCAATCTTTCTATTTCTGACTTGGCTGCCGTTTGCCAAAAAAATCTTTTCCCCTCATTCTGAAGTGATTCCGGTTTATACTGTCGTTATTGTTCTTGTCCAGTAACAGGGGAAGGCAGCTCTGGCCCGGGCCATCTGTATTTAAAAAAGCATCATTCCACTCATATCCGTAAAAACATTAGTTATTGGTTTATGCTTGAATGTTCAAAAAGTTGAATCTCTCCGAATATCAACTTCTGTAATGCATCATTTTTGATATCAACATAACTGACAGCCTTGCCTTGCATACTTTCTAATGCTAAATTACTCCACATCTGCATAATCAGTCTCACTTATCTAAAGGCTTTAAATGCTTCTTTAACCTCTCTGCCCCTTTCTAAATATAAAATCAATAATGGTTCTTTTTTTTCACCTTTCTTTTTTTTCACCTACACAGTCAATTCATGGAAAGCAGATGGCCCCTCTCATGTACACTCTGCCTAACTGCAGGACATTAAAGTGAACTAATGAAACCTGTGAGCGTTTAATTCACTAAAGCTAAAGCAGCAACTTTCAAACAAGCTAGAAAGTTTTTCTTGTTTTTATGCTGATTCATTTTGTTGGTATTTTTTGCCTCTCTTAAGGCGATCTGGTTTTATGTTCCCCCTTAAAAGACTGTGGCTTGTTTTCTGTGTTTATGATACGCAGAATTAACTGAGCTTCCTGCATCATCAAGCCCTGACTCTGTGGTTTCCTTCCCTCCTCAGGTCCAGACTGCGCCATATCCATGCCTGCCAACTCCTCCTTCTGGAGCCGGGAGGAGTACACCGAGGCCGGGCTGGCCAGGGCTTCCCACAAGGCCACGGTGGACCAGGGCATCATGTGGGTCATTGGAGGCTATGTCTTCAACGCCTCCGACTATCATATGGTCAAAGCGTAAGTACTCTCCCCTGTGAACTCGGATTTCAGGCTTTTGGCTGCTGCTCTCATCCAAGAGAGCTGCGAGACAGGAGTCCTGCTGTTGCTATGCGACTGTAGGGAATGTGCTTTTGAAACACAGTGTCTCTGTTGCAAAAATTTAAATATTTTTAACTTACATGCCTGTTATTCCGAGTGCTAAAGTAATACTTGGCTGTCAGTGCTGATAGGAAGAAGCCACAAGACTTCCTGTCTGTTGAAAATCAGCAAGAAAAGAACACAGCTCTGCACAGACAGCTCTGTGTCGGGCACAGACTGAAGGATGTAATTAAAACCATACAATTATAGGATATGCTGATGTTTCTCACCCTGAACTCCACCCAGGAAGGTCGCACTTATTCCCTTGGCTCATATTTGGACTTTATGGGTTTCAGTCAGGACAAGGCCCTTTTTATTTCTGCTCAGGGTATCTTATAAGAGCATTCTGTTAACTGTACACAACTTCTTCGTGTTTGTCACCTTGACATAGTTGGATTTGACAATAGCGTAATCGTCCTTCTCAATTTAAGTGTTTAGTTTGTTCCTGATGCAGTTGCAATGGTTCAGATACTTAAAGAACAATGCTTTCCTACAGTTTATGAAACTAAACCATACAACCTAAAGTTGAACACAATGAAAGCACATGAGTAGCATTTCCCTTTTCTTTTTGATAGGTAGTTGGTAGGTTTAGGGTTAAAATGCTAGAGGTCATTAGACGTTGGAACTTTAATTGAGGAACATGTTGAATACTGACACCACTGTGTTTTTTTTTTTTTTACAGTCTTTGGTATTGCACTTTGGTTTACGGTCTGGCATGGAGATAGTTAGCAGCTTGAAGAAGATAAGCCTAGCTCTGCTCTGTCTTTGTCTGGTTGAACTGGGGTTACTTTGTCTCGTCACACTGAAGTGATCATGGAAATCTTGACTCAACAGTTTTTCAAAATGCATGTAAAAATTATTGAACAGACGAGACTAGGACATACTCCTACACGTTTGTTCAATCTTTTCTATTGTGGTCATTGCACCTTTCTGTTCTCTTTCTGTAGGTATAACCTTAGTGGCAAGAGCTGGCTGACCCTCGACCCCTCCGTTAACACTGTCACACCACGATATGGCCACTCACTGGCTCTGCATGAGGTATGTGGAGGGGAGGAGAAATGCATATCTACTATGAACCAGGATGTACATTAAGACCACACAATGTAACTTGATACTGTACATTTCACTATTATTATAGTGTATATATAGTATTATAGCTTTTTACATGCATCTGTAGTTTCTGCCAATTCAGTATGATATGAGCCGGGCTTCAAAAGAGGATGAGAAAAGAACCGATGACAACTAAATTAAATGGATGCTTTAGCAGAAATATAGTAAACTTTATTTATGCTTTCAGTAGTGTGTTTGTTGTCTGGAACTAATACATAAATCTCTGGGTTTTGATATGCTGCAGTGAAGTAGGGAAGCAGTTTCTTTTCAGCCAGAAAGACTGTTAGGAGCTGCTGATGGAATAATAAATCGGAGTGAGGAGGATTCAGAGGAAGACGCAGTCTGTCTGCTCTGTGGTTTGAGAGAACTGAGTTTGTGCATTACAAACACTCCGCAGCTCAAATTGCATCACGGCGTATGAATGTGTCTTGTAAGTCAATGTGGGCTTGCAAGACAAATCTGAAACCAAATCAGTGTTGATACATAACAGATAGAAAGTCTTGCAAAACAGATAATGTACCGGTTCAGGCTCTCACATGCACTCACTGGTTTATAAAAAGCTTAAGATACTACAACACCTCTGTCTATTATGAAAATGCAGAATCAGGCTACTTTCTGTGACTTTAATGCATTCAGAAAATGCCATTTTCACTAAGATGACATATAAGAGAGTTGTGAGTACAAATACAGTATGTTGCCAAAGTTTACAGTTTTATCTACTGGTGTCATTTTTCAACTAATAACATAAAATAAATTGTACACACACACAAAAAAAGAACCAAACAAATCAATAGACATTTTTTACAGCAGCATTTTTACATAAAATAGTAGGGTAAATACATGTGTTAAGGAGGATTCTAATGAAAGTTCGCTCCATGCAGTGTATCAGAACATGCACATTAGCAGCCCCCTGCCTGTGTTTAACCTGAATGGAACAGAACCTTAATTAGTATCATTGGTAACACGCGTGTTAAACCTACAATGTCCTGTCAGAATGGCTGCTATAAAAAGGGTCTATTGTGAAGCTCACACACTACTGCTTGCAATAACGAGAAGTCCTCTGTTCTCTTTCATAGCGTTCATGTTCCTTGGAGAACCGGGGATATGGAAGTAAAGTTTCATACTCACATTATCAAGAGCAGGAGGAAATGAGGAAATGTTTACTTTACTATTAAATCAAGGAAGTGAAATGATGCTCTTAATATCGAGAAGCATTATTCTGTCAGACCTCCAGGCTGTGTTCAGGTCTTTTAGAGGTCCAGGGAATAATAATACACTGGTGTTATTATTTAAAACTCAAGGACAGATGGAAGGTTATTTGTGCTTTTTTTTTTTGTGTGTGTGCTTTGTCTCGCTGCCTCGGTTTCTGGAGAGCGTCCTGTTTTCTGTCACCTGTATCTCTCAGCATCTCAGTGCACAATGCAGCCTGGGACTTTAATGGGGTGAGCACTTG